ATTAATTTAGTTTTTTAATGTTTACTCAATCATTCTGCAACGGTTCAACATATCTTATTGAAATTTGGCACAGATATAAATCAAAGTCTGGGGTACACATGGGATAAGCTTCATCCCCGAGAAATGTCCGGTTCCCGAGGGATACGTAACTTTTTATAATTTATATAGTTTTAATGTTTTCTAATACCACGCGGACGATGTCGCGGGCAACAGCTCGTAGTTCTATACAGTAGTAAACTGAAACTTCGAGAAGTATATAATCGAGAAGTATGAATGTTTGATACTGTACTACTCCTGAACAGATAACTAGAATCGGGATGTGATGTAGGTGTAGGATATAGTGAGGAAACAAGGCGAAGGCCATATGTATTTTTTTTTAATTGTGTAGTGATACTATAAATAGCCAAGATAGAGAATAACCACAGCAATTGGTTTTTATCAAACTTTGAAACGCGGTCAATACTGTGAGGTCGTGTAATGGAAACCTTTTGGTCTGAATAGGCCTAGTTTAGACAAGCTATTTATGATGTAACAATAACAGCGCAGTGACTGCAAGCAGCATTCTAACACTCGTAGTTACCTTCGTCTATCCAGCAAACGAGCAGAGGGTGTTTCAGACTATACTTTGTCCTCCATAAGAATCGTGCCTAGCCATGATCACTGAAGTAGCACAACCAGCAGATGCGCTGCTTACCTGTATTCGGAGGTGCGGCGCACAGAAAGGGAATTTTCCCCATTCTTAAGCGGTCCCACTTCCATCAAGTTTATTTCCCCTTTCTATTATTTTATTATATTACAAAAAAAGGTGAAGGTGTTCATTTACCATATAGTATAAGGTAACATACGAGCAAGTGGCGAAAAACTGAAGTTGCCAAACTAGTGGAGTGACCGATACTTATAGACATTGTATTTTCAGATTGTTGTCTACCTGTAAAAATCAGAGGACGAGACTATTTCTCCTATCTTTGCCTTCCATCCTCCTTCAATGCTTCCCTTCCCATCAGGGGCGTAGCGAGCTATCTCGAAAACCATATAATTTTTATATCTAAAATATACTCAGAAATTAATTAAATTACATATTGAAGTTAAACTAATTCGCAAAGGAGTTAAAGAATAGGCTAAACCGATTTTAATTTATTTTACTGTCGTATTGTAATAAGCGCCACTTAACATTTAATACCTTTTTTATGCCAATTGGTGTATAAAAAGAAACTATTCATTGGAAACCATTTTAGTTATTATAAATTGCAATGTCAAGGTGTCTCTATTATTAATTTTATCAATCCTAAGAAGTAGATCACAATGTATTCAAGGGACTTCTAACTTTGAAGTGCGAGGATGAGGGCGACTGTCCACTTTTCCCATACATTTTTCTACCTCTGCATTGATAACACTGTAATGTTGATTTTCGGCAAATTTAATTCAATTTGCAGAATTGCATTTTGAGTGTTGTGTGAAAACATGATTGCTTTTAAAGCGTTTGTCGCTCGACAGTTGCCAATGCCTGCGTGTTTTATAGACTTTAAAACAGCGCCTGCGCAAGCAGCAAATGCGTAGGTATTTACTTTTTTTTATTCCTGTAAAATTATTTACCGTCCCCTGAAACTATGCGCCCAGGCTCCACTTCTTTCCTTATCCTGCTGGCAAATCCGCCCTTGAATCGACAACAATACGATAAGATACGGTGGTTTAGATTCGTAGTGTTCCGTTTTATTTCCGAAGAATCATTTATTATATTTCTATTGGCACATAATTTAATATACTTTCCAGAAATCAATTATAATTTTTGAACTACGTAAACAAACATTGTTCTAAATAAGGGATTTTTATGTTATAGAGCTTGTGGAAACATTTCTTTAAGTTATTGATGGGAAGGGAACATATTATTTTATGAAGTTATAGAGGTTTTTATATTACCGAGGCTTGAGTTATCGAAGTTCTACTGTAATTATTAGGCCTCCCGCACGCACACTCATCAGACGAAACGCGGTATTGCCTCCACGCTTGCAGCCACATTTGTACAAAAGATGTAGGAAGGAGGCTTTTAGTACTGTAAAACACAGAGTTTCATAGAATAAAGAAGTGAATGCCAAGGGTCCAGTGAGGTGTGATGGCAGGCGAAGAACCAACGCGTCATCAGCAGGTCGAGCTGGGACCCGAGTCGCGCTGAGCTGAGCTTTCTGCGTGATTGTGCAGCTCTGGCAGCAGTTTGCGCGACCGCGTGATGCCAAAAAAGCATGGAGCCGAACGCGGCCTCACTTCACTGTTCAGTCAGTGTGCTCGCGGCCGCCGCCGTGGTTAGGCGCATGTAGTGCAGTGAGCCATCGTTTGTGCCATGCTGACGATGTCGCAATGTGTTTCTATCGTGTATGACTTGACCGATTTATAAGTGCGACTGTAAGTATACGATAATTTATTTTTTCAAACATTACAGATTCGTCGGTATTTACGTTAATTTTAAAGTATTCCAAAAATCATTTTTTTCCAGAGAAACATTTTTTACAAATTTGTCTAGGGCTGTAAGTAGCGTACAATTTTAGGCAGGGCAGCAATGTTTACAGGTAGAGCGAAATTAAAAAAAAATCATAATTCATTTGCGCTCGAAGCACGGGCTAAAGGCAGATTATAAAATAGGGGGTTTCCCTGTCACCTGACCCTGACACAAACTGGTATTTATAAAAATGTCTCAAATTAAATGACAACTTTTCTTACTCCATATATTTATTGAATATCATTGTACCCACAAAAAATATACAATATTGCCCGCGACTTCATCCTTGTGGAATTTTAACTTCAAAGTTCGAAAATTTCTTTCGCCCCCTTTTTTTTTAATCTTTACTGGATACATTAGAACGAAGCCTAAGACACCCAGACCTTTCGTACTACGTTTATAGTTTGTCTAAATAAGATAGATTAGTTTGATAAATGACGTATTTACAGGTATAGTAGTGACGAGACAAACACGCATTAGGAACAATTATGAACTACCGATATTCGGTTTAAATTTTTATCGAACTCTACTAAAATTATTATTTTCTTATTAACTAATTTAGAGGACAATTCTAGTATTGATTATAGTATAGAGAATTTAGCGATGACAGAAATAATAGCGAAATCCAATTCGATTACGTACGGCTGTAGTAGTAATAAATATTTATTTACTCTCATTATTTGTTATGGTCATTATTAATTTAAGAAAACAGTATTTTTTTTTTATTTATAAGTTATAACTATAAATCTATCGATTCCAATTTCTATAAGAATAAAAATCGAAAATTGATAAGATTCATGACTGATTTTACACAACCATCCCTACTTAATTTGAAGTGAATTGTCAAACTAATCTAAATCTAAAGTAAACCAACCTAAAGTCCACGATGCCATATGTATATCTGTTTTGAACGTTTATCATGCAACAACAACTTTTTGGTTTAAAAATGAATTATAGTGTGCAGGCAGACAAATTTTTCTGGAGAACTTTTTGGTATCTACAATACTTTACACATCCTATTTGTATATCTCTCACGGTTTAGGTTTAATGTAGTGATTTTTTAACGCCGGGGTTCAGAAATATGCTGTTTATTAATAGTTCCTAAACATTCGTATCAACAAAACGTAGCCTATGTTACAGATAAATTACTTTTCTAATGATGAAAGAATTTTTAAAATCGGCCCAGTAGTTTTTGCATGTACCAAGTATGCACATGTCATTCCTCTTAATAATATTAGTATAGATAAAAACTTTCGAGTCACGCTTTTCCTACAAAAGAGTTTTATGTGTCATATAAAACCTAGTAATTTAAGTTAGTGTCTATTATAAAACCAGGCAATTACACGGCGCTATCACCCCTAGATATTCATTTCTACGAAACCTAAGCAATGCTCTCGAGAATAACGTATTTTAATTTTAAAACGAATGTTAGTGTTATCCTTGCCAGAGAGCGCAGCGTAGTGTAAAAGGGACGCATGTGTAAGAACGTCCACGTACCCCGCAGACAAATAGACATTGACCAAAGTGTACAGTAGCTATACTAGACAACAAAAGAAGACAATCTGTCGATTCTTGCCACCTTTAATGGATCCACTTTTCAGGCTCCGATCATGTATCTATCAAGTTATGTATCAAATGTAGGCGTACCGAAATCATGACTGACGATCTGTTAAATAATATTGACTAAAAATAAAACCAAGATAAAGTATTTTAGTTAGGCCTCTGTCCCCACTACCGCTCATTTTTAAATATTTATAATTGAGTTGGAGCTTCCGTCGCTCGGAGTATGATTGCTCTCCATTATTCATGT